GGGCTAAAAAAATTTTATTATTAATTATTATTATTGTTATCTATTTTAGAGAAAGGAGATTAGAAGCATTGATGTGAGAGACATGCTGATCAGCTGCCTCCTGCAAGCCTCCCACCCGGGGATCAAACTCACAACCCGGGCCGTGTGCCCTGACCAGGAACAGGAAACAGGTGACCTCTGGGTGCCTGGGACCACCCTCAACCAGCTGACCACACCCGCTGGGAGCCCCAGCTGCCTGCAGGAGCGCTACTGCAACTGCAACCTCAGAACCGCCCTGAGTGCCGTTACTCTTATCATCCTCAACTTGCAAATGGGGACCTTGAGGCCAAGAGAGACTGAGTGATACCCAAGGTCACACAGCTGGATGCGGCGGAATCCAGCCTTGTTTGCTTTTCTTTCTTCCACGAGGCTAGTCTACCTCCCAGCATGGGACCCCCGGGATCTGGCCCCTCCGACCGTTCTGAGATCTGACCCTCATCTCGGCTACAAGGACCGCATCTAGCACAAATATAGCCGATTGCGCCGTCACACCCGGGCTCCCGCAACCCCCCCCCCACACACACACACCCCGGAAAACTCCAGCTCCCAGCCCCCCGAGCCACGCTTCCCCAGATATAGCTGTCCCCACGCCCCTCCCCCGGGCTTCTTGCACCCCACCCTTTACCTCCTCACTCATGGGTTCCGGAGGGGGGTCCGGCTCGTCAGAGCCCGCCGTGATGGCCATCTGCAGTAGGCCTGCAGCGCCAGGGGGAGGCGGCTGCCCCCCGAGCCTTGGTCCGCCATGGGCTGCTTGTGGAGAAGGGGAGCGTGTGTTGCGGGGTAGGGGAGGGTCACCGCGGAAGGAGCTCTGGTGTCCTGGAGGGTCGACTCCTGGGGGTCTGCTGAGAAGGTGGCGTTTTAGGGGAGCCCGGCGCCCCCCCATGACACGGAACCGCTCTGCCCACACCCACTTAACCACTGCCCGCTTCCTTTCCTTCCTTCAAACCTGCGGGACCCTTCCCCAAAGCCACTAGCCCCGCCTCCCTCCCTAGCAACAGGCCCCACCCACTCTCCTAGCAACCCCCTCCCCGATGTCCAGTGCGCGCGTCCCCGTCTCTTAGCAACGCCGCTGTCCCGCCTCCAAAGCAACCAGCTCCCCCTTGGGTCGTCCTATCAACGAATCTCCTCCCTCCTCTCCGAAGAGGGGAGCCAGAGCGGGGCGCGCCTCACCTCTCCGGGCCTCGAGTCGCCGCCGCTACTGAAGACAGAGTCGCCCGCACCTGACTCTCGTGGGCGCCGCCATCTTGACCGGAAATACGCAGGTCTCATCGGGGAAATTTCCGGCGCACCCACCCAGCTCCGTAGCTGGGGCGGCGGCGTTTGCTCTGCCCTTAAGCCCGACCCACCCGACCGGATACCGCGGTGGCCCCGCCCCTCGCGGCCTCTCCCTCTAAGCCCCGCCCCGTCCCGCATCCCGCCCCTTAGCGAGTCCTGTTTCTTCATCCTCCTGGCGAGATCCACCCCTGCCCTGATGTATGCCCCGCCCCTCCCAGGTCTGGCTCCGCCTCCAGGAGACCCCGCCCACATCCATGTTCCCGCCCTCTCCGACACTGCCCCTCCCCACCACCTGAGGTCCCGCCCTTGTTCTAGGCCTGTCGGCTCCGCCCATATCGTGGCCACGCCCCTGCTCTGGCCCCGCCCCGCTCCTATCATTTGCAGGTTGCGCTGGTCCTTCACCTGCAGGCCTTTTCCCCTGCATCTGCTCCACCCCACCATTTACTGGAGCCCTGCATTGGGGTAACCCAGGCAGCTTTTGACTCACCCCACTCCTTCTCTTGGCCTCAGTTTCCCCACCTACCCGTTCTCCACGCAGCAGCTCCTGTGCAGACCCTTCTTTTTTAAAAAAAGATATTTTTATTGATTTCAGAGAGAAAAGAAGAGGGAGAGAGAAATAGAAACATCAGTGATGAGAGAGAATCATAGATCGGCTGCTTCCTGCACGCCCCACACTGGCGATCGAGCCCACAACCCGGGCATGTGCTCTGACCAGGAATCAAACCGTGACTTCCTGGTTCATTGGTTGACGCTCAACCACTGAGCCATGCCGGCCAGGCATGTGAAGACCCTTCTTATCACCCCTCTCTACCCTGTAAAATTTCCCCTGGGTCCTGCCAGGTGCAGAGGAAGGGGATTCTTGAAGCAAAATGCCCAGGCAAGTTTGTCTAGGAAGCTCGCAGCCTCCAGGCACCAGATTTGGAGCTCGGGGCTGGGAATGAGCCCCTGCAGGCCTGGTCTGCAGAAGTGTTTGCTTCGGGCTGGGCTTAAGGAAACCCTAGTTCTAGTCTTTTCCATAAGAGCCCCCCATCTGGGAAAAGGTTGTAGCCAGCTTTAGTTGGGGCCCTCCATTTCAAATGTATTGAGTTGCTAGGTCTGGGGTGTGCAGGGCGATATTTTGGGCTGAGATGGGAAGACAAACATATAGGTCCTGTTTGAGCGTGAGTGTGTGTGTGTGTGTGTGTGTGTGTGTGTCTGTGTGTGTGTGTGTTTGTAGTAGGATAACTATCAGACACAGGTCTGGACCCATGGGCACCCTATTGTACTAGTATTCCTTTCCTATGTCTGCTATTAACAAATCACTAAAAAACTTGGTGGCTTAAAACAACACAGATTTATTATTTTACCGATCTGGAGATCAGAAGTTCTAAATTGGTTTTGGACTCGTCGACTTGCACTGCGCTAAAATCAAGGTGTCAGCCGGACTGTGTGACTTCCGGAGCCTCCAGGAGAGAACCTACCTTCTTGCCTTGTCCAGCTTGTGGAGGTCGCCTGCATTCCTTGGACTGTGGGCACATCCCTTCTGCTTCCCTGTCCCATCTCCTGACTCCAAACCTCCCACCTCCCTCTCCTAAGGGCTCTTGTGATTACATTTAGAGCCACTCAGATAACCCGGATCATCTTGACTCAAGTCCCATCTGCAAAGTCTCTTTTGCCCTGTAAGGTAACGTATTCACAGGTTCTGGGAATGTGGATGTGACATCTTTGGGGGGCCTACCATACCTACATACTATACCTATGCACAAGCCTATCTATAGATAGTGTATATTTACATATAAAATTATACATCATACTATGTAGTATATATGCACATGTAATTATATATAACATATTATATATATGAATATAGGTATAATATGATAGTGGCCTAAATGGTGGTCTCAGGTAGCATATAAAAGCCATAGCCTTGCCCTTACCGGTTTGGCTCAGTGGATAAAGTGTTGGCCTGCAGACTGAAGGGTCCCAGGTTTGATTCCGGTCAAGGGCATGTACCTTGGTTGCGGGCACATCCCCAGTAGGAGGTGTGCAGGAGGCTGTCCAGCTTGTGGAGGTCGCCTGCATTCCTTGGACTGTGGGCACATCCCTTCTGCTTCCCTGTCCCATCTCCTGACTCCAAACCTCCCACCTCCCTCTCCTAAGGGCTCTTGTGATTACATTTAGAGCCACTCAGATAACCCGGATCATCTTGACTCAAGTCCCATCTGCAAAGTCTCTTTTGCCCTGTAAGGTAACGTATTCACAGGTTCTGGGAATGTGGATGTGACATCTTTGGGGGGCCTACCATACCTACATACTACACCTATGCACAAGCCTATCAATCGCTAATAAATATTTACATATAAAATTATACATCATACTATATAGTATATATGCACATGTAACTATATATAACATTATACATATGAATATAGGTATCATATGATAGTGGCCTAAATGGTGTTCCCAGGTAGCATATAAAAGCCATAGCTTTGCTCTGGCTGGATGCTCAGTTGGTTGGAGCATCCATATACTAAAAGGTTGCAGGTTCGATCCCAGTCAGGGTACATACCTAGGGTTTGGGTTCAAACCCCAGCCAAGGTGCATTCGGGAGGCAACCAATAGATGCTTCTCTCTTGCATCAGTGTTTATCTCTCTCTCCCTCTCTCTCTGCCTTCCTCTCTCTCTAAAATAAACATATCCTCAGGTGAGCATTAAAAAAAAAAAAAGCCATAGTCTTTACAATGACCTTTTTTTGAAGATGTATCTTTTTACTTTTATTTTTTTATTGAATTTATTGGGATCATATTGGTTAACATGCACATATAGGTTTCAGGTTACAATGACCTCTAGGTAGGATAATCCTATAATTTTCCATTTAATGGCAAAGACACTTGAGAATGAAAACAGGCCCTATTAATAATTACAGACTACCCTGAGTAAACCAGGACTTCTAAGGGCCCCGGACGCCCTGCGTCCTCACCTCCTTTGGTGTCTCCCCCCACCCCCACAGCCCCTCCAGCCACACTGGCCCCTTCCACACTCCTATCGCCCGCCTGGCACAATCCCACTCAGGGCCTTCGCGCTTCCTGTTTCCTGCCGGCACTGTAACTAAAATACCGCACTCCGCAAACACTTCCAGTTCCCTTCCCTGCTCCAGTCTCCTCTTTAGCACTGAGCGTGGCCATTGGATGGACCCTATATTCTGCTTGTTTTCTTTTTAATATATTTTATTGATTTTTTACAGAGAGGAAGGGAGAGGGATAGAGAGTTAGAAACATCGATGAGAGAGAAACATC